TGATTTTTAAAATAAAAAAAATATCAGAGGAGTTACAGTCGGCACATGATGCTAAACTGTATTCCTATTATCATTTCGCTAATGATGTTGATTATCTGATCTCCTCAAACTTATTTTTAGAGAGAGAGAGAATTCATACTACAAACAAACGACAGCTGGCGTCTTTAATTAAAATAAGTCCGGTATGAAATATGATATATTTTTTAATCACACAGCACGCACCCGTCGATAATGTGAAATTATTACAAGCTATAACGCTAAGTACAAGTATGAAGTATAGTGTAAAATAAAATATAACAGTACCTCTTTGCACATTTCTGTTTCCTAGACAACAAAATGTTAGAATTAATCATACTTTTTGAAAAGAATTTTCTATACAGAGGTAAAAGGATATTAATCTTAAGAGTTTAAGGATATGGTCATTATGTAAATTTTTAATATACTGGTAAAAAATTTATACCAAATCACATGTACAACATGAAAAGTGTAACTTTTGTATATACTTTCACCCAGTAAATTAAAAATTGACAATATGAAATTGTCTGAGGTCGGCAGCTGCATGCGTATGCACTTTATTCACCTCGCCAGTATCTGCTTAGTCAAGATCCCTTAATACGGATCCACAATGTGCGTCAATGACACCTTTTCCTCGAGAAATTCCAGTTTTCCAGCCCAGTTAACCCTTAGGCTTAGCAAATCATCTCATAATTCTACAATCGTTACCAAATACACGCATCACCAACTTTAATATTCCTAAAATAGCAACGATGCTTCAACTCAAAGCTGCGATTTCCGCCGAGTTTAATTATGCATTTTATTACTACATATTAGCTGCTAATTGAGGAGCTCTCCCCCACCGAATAAAGACTTTAAGAATCAACATTCTGTAAGCTTTTATTCATGTTAGAGTGCACTCTTCATTAACTTCAATAGAATTTTTTATTTGTGTAAAATTCCCCGCTAGGAAAAAAGTTCTATGCGGAAAACTTCTGCAACAACCATGCAGTCGTTAAATTACCACCGGCGGAAAGGTTCGATTGAAAATCGCAATATTTGGAGAGGGATCCTCTTTTGTATTTCAGCATTTGTCACAAATCAATTTGTTGGATCATAATTCAAAAATTAAAATCCGATAAGAAAGATTTTGGTTGGTTAAACAATGATCCCTGTTCAACCCTTGCCAATCAATAGCACTGCTTAACATTACTGCTCTGACGTAGCGTTGAAATTCTCCTCACAGATAAAATACTATTTTACACACCATAAAGATTTGCCATGATAATAAGGACATACTTGTGGAATACTGTAATCATATTTGGAACAAGAGTCACTTGAAAGTCATGAGTACGAATCAAATTATATATTTTTCATATATACTAGTATATGCCGTATAGGCCATGTACGAAAATTAGAAACTACATACATACAATCATGTGTAAATATATGAAAAATTGAGCATTTCGGTGTATTTTCATACCCCCGTAATTGAAGATTCGGGGGATATGGTTTTTACCCTGTCTGTCCGTCTGTCTGTTTGTCTTCAACCTTGCTCATAACTTTTGAGTGGGCGGGGCTACAGCCTTGATATTTCACAGTTGATTCCCTGTGACAAGATTTTTCTTCGGGTACCATCAAATTTGACCTCTTGACTTGACTTTGGAGTTTTACCCACTTTTCCAATAAAATTATCACACTTTAACTTTAGTCATAACTTTTCAATAGTTGGTGCTAAGGCTTTCATATTTAATATGTGTATTCATTGTGACAAGACCTTTCAGAAGGTATAAATATTTTTAGTCTTGACGTTGGAGTTTGACTCACCTTTTTTATTTAAATCTTTAACGTTGGTCATAACTTTTGAATAGTTAGAACTTTTTTTTTTACTAGAAATGAAACTCTTTTATGTACTTGTATTTTTTAGGGAAGTGTTAAAAACTGCAATAAATTGTCTTTTTGTCTAAAAATAAAACCGTACAAACATTGTTTATCCCCCTACGCAGCTTAAAAAAACCGAAAAAAATATTTTCTACTTTGAATGTCTAATTTATGGTTCTAAGGGAGTTGATTTGACAAAAATGTTACTAAAGGGACATATTAGCCGTGCATAACACGTAAAACTTGTAACCGTGTATAGTCTGAGCCTCTCGTCTTCTGCTATAATTGAACGAAATATCGAAAAAAGCTTTTCAAAATGTCTACAAGAGAATGTCCCCATGTCCCCAAACATATAAATTAAACACAGAAACTAGACTCAATTAGCGTTTTCCGGTCAATCGCATTATTGGAGAGAGAGAGAGAGAGAGAGAGATTTCCAACAACTTGAATTGTGCAAAAAGTGAAATATTTAATGTATTAAAGAAATTATTTTATAAAACTGAATGAAAAGTTTGTTTTTTTTTAATCTTATAATGAATATTATTTAACATATAAAAGTGAAAAATACAGTTAAATTACATGAACTAAGAAAATTAAAACATTCTACAATCTCTCTTATTAATAAAGGAAATTCATTATAACATACATGTACAGATAAATACATCGTTAAACGACACCAAAAATATAAATATTTCAAAAAATCATCTTTACAGGATTTGTGACCCCCTGCAAACTTATTCAAGCAACCTTTGCTTTGAGAAAAACTTAAATTGAGAAAATATATGATAAACGAGAATTAGACAATCGATGATTAATGCGAGCATAAAAAAAATTCTTATCTTCAGGACATCTAACAATAAATTTTATAAAACAACTAAGTTTTGATGACTCTACCAAGATCGAAATATGATCTATGTATTTTAAACCTTTGATACACTTGGAATGTACATCAGAAGAACGGTTTTTTACAATACACGACAAACCTTTGTAGTCATAATCTGAAAATTAAGAAGTTGGTATCAAATTTTAAATCATGCCAAGATGAACCGCTTTTAATCAAGATAATGCTTTAGGATTAATGCTTACGTCCCCTGTCCTGACCTACTGGGTAAACGGATACGGTATTATATTCCGGCTAATGTAGGACCTAAATGATATCTATAGGGACCTTAGTTACAAAACAGACACTATTCTGGTAAGTCGTGATTTATTTACTTTAAAATGAAAATTGAAACATTTTTACAAAAAGTATTCAAAACTATAGTTCAGTAGTATATTTTGCGAACAAAGTGGTTCTACAACTGTCCTTACCAGACGATTTTATGAATATGACTTGTTGCATCGATATCTTAAATCAGATATTTTTTATTTTAGATTATCTAATATAGATTTGCCACAAATATAAACTCTGGTTTTAATTTAAGGAGGCTAGGAGGTCAACAATTTAACTATTGGATATAACTTAAATTCTTAGGTATGGTATCTTAAGCTGTCAACTAACATTTGGCAAAAAGAAATTTCATACATTTTAGTTTTAAAATTTGATCATTTTTGTATATCTTTACATGGAACTCTTCTTCTAAAGGAGACCAAAATAGTATGAAAATTGCCACAACACCCCAGTCCCTTTAATTCTTTTTTCTTGTATAAAATGAAAAGATTGCGAAAAAAAAATGAACAAAACAAGATTGTCTTTAAGGTAACTTTTATTATATATATGAAGTGGCCTATTTCATATTGAAAATATAGTGGATTTGATCCAGAGACGATTAATTTCATATTCAATTTCTTTGAAAAAAAATAAGGATAGCAATTAGCATCTTTAGTTCAGGTACCTATAACGAAATGGTATTTTTATCTTTCCTTTGCCTGCGGACGCATTCACTTTGCGTATAATTTTAAAATTCTCGGTGACATGTTTAAGTGACCTCCTTTATGATTCTTTTTTCCCTGGCTTTTGCACCAAATTTCTCCGGAGAGTCGTAGATAATTGAAAAAAATGTATGGTATATTACGAAGTGTTAATGTAATTATGGTAATTATTGTAGAAGGGTTCTTATGTCTTTGGGCACTTTGCTGAAAGGCTGGTCTGGGTTATTTTTAAGAAATTCCACAGAGTAAATACTTTGAATGCCTGATTCGATTGAACCCGTTATATTATCCATCTATGTATAAGCTTTTAAAGCTTGCATTAAAGCATTCAATATTCATAAATATACTTTCGAATAGCCAGATTTTATTTGATCAGTTTCTCACGTACAAATAGTTTTAACAAAAGTCTTTTAAGAATTGTCTTTAACATTTAATGATTGGTGATTTGCTCTGACTTTTTTTGTTCTTGTAAGTGCCCAGACTTTTACTCGTTGGGTGGTTTCAACTACAATATTAAGTTTACATTGCTGAGGTAGAAAGTGGATAAGGGTTGTCTTTATTCTAACCCATTTTCAAGACGTCTATTCTAATGTTGAATTTTTGAAACGCACATTTCTTACTAAAATTTTATAGTATGCCATGGTGTTTTCTCTTAGCTAGCTTAATCACACATTTTGCTTGACCCAGTGCATTACGTATATTTTTAATATGTTTGTATACCTCATTTACCATTTACATGGTTAATTTGAAAGAATAAATTGAAATGAAATTGAATTTAATTTTCAGTAATTATAAATAAAGGACAAGCAATGATATAATGTTTAGTTTGTAACGATTCAAACGATCCGCAAATAAAATTGTAAATGGTCTCTAAGTCGACATTTATCTGGTCCACTTAACAAGTCAACATTTGTATATTGAAATTTGATATATATAATAATTTATAAAATCGAACTGAAGTTTACTTTTTTAATTTAAAAAAACAATATTAACTTGTGAGATTAAGCTTTGTAAGAGTTTGTTCCTCTTTAATTATAAATTGATAAATAAAGACTTAATTTCCAATCATGTGAATAATTTTTAATGAGGCAAATTTTTACCGTTATAAATAGATATGGTAACTTTCACAACTCGTGATGTTGTCTATGATAAGAAAATTTAACAGAAAATTAGCTGTAATATTACATTTTATATCCTTTGATGACGCAAAATATTAAGAAGAATTAAGTCTATGTAAATGTTTTTCTTTGTAGAAAGGATCCAGCTAAGGTGTACGTAACTCTAATGCGAGTTTTCAACAACAAATCCTGGCGTCTAACAAGCTGATGAATTCTTAGTGTCTCCTTTCGCACGCGCATCCATCATATGTAACCATCTCTATTCTATTTTTTGGAGCAATACACAACGTGCAGTCTGGCAGCTCGATAATATACTGTAATTATTCACATAATAAAGTGTTTACATGTGTTCAGATGTAATAGGTATTCTCCAATAAATAAAAAAAGTGATTAATTAAGTTGATGAAGAGAGAAGACAATGTGATGGAGATGCCTGATATGTGTTCCATCTTTGGTGTCACGCTTTCCTTCTAGTACCTGGAATGAATGACAGCTCTGTGATCGATACTTTGATTGAATTTTCCTTCGTATTTGAATATGTCAGGTCTCGTCATGGTTGAACCAGCCAATGAAAAAACTCGTATTGATTCTACGGAGCAGCTCATACACCAAGTGCCAGTAGCATTCGCGGATCCAAACGATGAAACCAGTGGAAATGTCAAACGTCCTAATTCATTGCCGAACAACCTTGATAAACATTCGGAACGTGTCCCCGAAAACAAACATAATGCTCGGCATTTACAGGATTTAAATTTTCAAGAACATGGAGAAATTGACGGAAGAGTCAATCAAGCATATTCTTCTCCTGACATCGAGTTACAAAACTATAGCTTTGATGTAGGTGAGAAAAAAGACAGAGTTGACCAGAGCAGTCAAAAAGAGGGAGAGAAGGGTAAACAAAGCTCCCAGATGAGTCTTCAAAATACTTCCATTCCACACACGCGGTTGCCGCAAATAGATTGTGCCATCATCGCCGAGGAGGATACGTCGCGAAGCGTTCTGTTGGAGGATGGTGGGGGGAAAGAGGAGTCGCGAAATAACAACAAATCTACAAAGGACAACATTATTTCGGACATTGGTGCCGATATAATGAGAGTTAATGGAGCCATTGGCTCATTTAAACAGTTACAGAAGCCGACCTCTATGCAGTCCCTGCCCACTTCCTCCAAAATGAGTTTTAATGACGAAACCGGAGCCGGTACAGCTTTAGTGGATAAAGGTGACTCCGGAAAATATGTGGAAAATAAACAGGACAAAGATAATAAACCCAATGTGGGGTACAGACTCGGGAAACGAAAATCCCTGTACGAACGTCGACGGAAAATCTCGGACTATTGTCTCGTTCTTGGAATGGCCGGAATTCTTATAATGATTCTTGAGACGGAACTTATTATGGCGAAAGTTTACACCAAGGTGGGTTGTTTTGTATATCATATTTCACAATATTTAATGTTTCTTGTGGAAACATTGTTTGGATAATGGTAAAGAACATTTGTAAGGGTAACGAATGAGTAATAAATAAGTATATAGAGAGATCCCCCACGTTATACCTCGCATGCAGCACTTGCAAAACTTTCTGTGCACAAAGCATACTACACCGAAATAATTGCCCTTTGAGCAATTACCAATTGTAAATGACTAAACCATTGGCATAAATCCTGCTCTGCACTCTCGACGATTCGTTATTGTAACTCGCCAACTGAAGACATCGAAAATCACTTTGTCATTAAGACATTTGTCATGCAATTCGATATTTTAAACCTGTGAGTGTCGCATTCCATATGATTAGGCTACACATTACATGAAACCTGTTGACAGTGAGTTTAAACATCAGAAACACATTTTATCAGATCATTTAATACAGTTGTAATTAATTTGAAACGGTTACATGATGAAAAAAAAAGTTAGTGCACCAAATCATTCCACTCAGGTGTTTTTCGTTAGGTGAGTACAATGTTCATTGCATCAATCCATCATTCTTTCTAGGCATGTGTCTAAAATTAGCTTCCATGTGAACAGAAGTTTATAGGGCTATTATTCCGGTGGTTTATTGTTTACACCAAAGCTAGTAATGTCATGTCGTGTAAAACAGTTTGTCGTCATAGAATACAGACCCAGAAACTGTTTAGTGTTATGCTTGGCAAAACTATTTCCCACACACGCTCTCACACCCTTACACACACACACATACTAATTTAATGCACTTTGAAAAAAAGATAATTACTGCACGCAGTTGCTGCATCAGAAAAAGTGAGCTTTAGGCTTGTAAATCTCTACGGGAGTTCTGTGTTCTACGTCATCAAACCAATTAACACAGATCAAGTTCCCCCTGATGGCGACATTATAGGTGAAAAAAATACTCTGCGAGGTAACACGGGGGAGAAATTCATAGAGCGTTGAAAAAGTAAAAGCATTGTTTGGGGGAAAAAGCATGTACTATCTTGTCTCATGATTATTTTGTACTTTTACCGTTCGATATTTCGCAAATAAAAAAGTCGGCTTTGAGGATTGTAAATTGATTAGTTTTAATGAATACTGTTTTAATGTAAATCCGGAGCTAACAGAAGAATCATATAGACCTTGCCAATTGATCATACGGGTCAACTGTTTTAATGCAGGACATGAAACAGTATTGGGTTCCATTACGGAATAAAATTTCATATTGAGCGCTTCGAACGTTTTGTCTTTGTCAAATTGAATGAAACATCAACAATTGTTTGATGAAGTTATATATGTGAATTAATTACTAAGCTTTGTAATGTTCCAAAATAAGTATGCGTTTGTTCATAGAACTTTACTTGTTGTCATGTAATGCTATATATGCCTAAAGAAAATAATCAGATATACATAAATAATAGGTGAATATACTTTAATGTTTTTTTTTTCAAAAGATTCAAATGTCTTTTAGTAAAAGACTTTTACCTCTTTCTGTGGTAATTTGTAACCATCTTGATGTGGTTACTGAATATAACTCTGGTAAAACCAAAGCAATTAGTCAACTGTACAACATTACTGAATAATTTACAATGTAGAAGCAAAGTCATAGAAAGATAAATTGCACTAAAAACGTCATTTTTTTTTCTTTTTTGCAAAACAAAGGCCAAGGGCATATTTTAGTTCAGAATATGCGGAGAAATTTTAAACAATCTTGAATTATTTATGCTCAATTTTTCCCTGAACGCTATCGAGCCTCGCAATGTCTACAAAGTGATGTGAATTATTTCATATGTTAAAGGACTTGAGGGAAAACGGTGATATTGTTCATATACACTGCATGACAAGCCATGATCTGATCTCGGGGAAAAAAGCAAAGAATTTTTTAAAAAAATCAAATTGTCAAGTGTTGGAAGGGGGGGGGGGGGTGTCACTTAATAAGTTAGCATAGGAGGTACGTAATTCTTTTTACAAGGCTTGAATACGCAGAATTTATATGCACAAATTAAGGCATAAATAAAAATGTTGCATTAATGCTTTCAAATTTACCTAATTAATTTTATAAGATAAACTTCGTAAACAATAACAATTTCCTTTTTCGTAAGGAAGTCAGTTAATAGTCCATCTTCATTCCCCCGTTCACCTGGTTTGTTGTAATTTCGAATCAACGATGTATAATATGCTCATTATGGATTTTCTGAATATTATTGTTTTATGTAGTATTTCATTTAATGAGCTCAAAAGATCAATGACATATGTAACACCGTATCTCCTGGGTAGCACAATTTTACGACAATAGCACAATTTTACGACAATAGTGTTCGATATTTAATGTGCCACTTCCACTGAACTTGTATAGAGACCTTGCGCGAAGAGAATATTTATGTGATGTGGACAGTTGATCCATTTATTCTATGGACATTCTTTTATCGAAAAAAAAATTCTGGTACACGAAACTTGCACAATGGAGCTTGACCCTGTATTGTACTCTGACAATGCTAAACCATTCTAATGGAATGTACGATCATTGAATGTTACGTGTTAACCGATTCGTTATTGTTTAGACTGCTTAATTAATCACCTGATATTTATCAAGTTCTTAATTGTGTGAACAGAGGGCGTGTGTAATCAAGTTATAAAGGTTGTTTTAGATGTTCTCATAGATAGGAAGGTCTAGAGTAGGAACCAAACATTATTATGCTGAACCAAATCTTTGTTATTGAAATATAACACTTGCTAAATAAGCACTTTTGGATTATGAATGTATCAAAACTTTGATGCATAAAGCACAGTTTATACTCGTTTATACATGTAAAAGTTATACTTATATGCATTTAAAAAATTATCATCTGTTAGACGATAGAATAGGCCCACTTCGCAAAGTTTGCTAAATTTTATTTTTCTTGGTTACCAAACTGACCATTGGAAGTATTGAACTCTTTAACTGTATATATTGAATATGGATCAATACGTGACCAAACCCATGTTTTTAACATTGTGATCATATAGCTCTTTCCAGCAATTGAATTAAGTAGTGGACAATTTCATATAACTATATGTAGTGAGCATTTTATATTCCAGGTATATCTTTCAAACCTTCAAACACCATCAACATTTTTGCTAGCCTGCCTTTATTCAATCTTAACTTCATTCTTAAACATTATAATTATTTTTTCTAACTCTAAAATAACCATATTTTCCTTCTTCTCACAGTGTATACACGTACAATATTCTGATTTTATCCATGTTCCTTCTCCTTTGTTGTTCTCTTTCTCTGTCCACTCATGGTTATAATTTGGTACAAGTACTCACATCTTTCATGAAATTGATGAACTATATTATCAATTATGGTGGTTGGTATTAACACAGGACAGTAAAAACTATAAAACTAAAGATATGCAGACATTGGGTGTCATTTCGTTGAGATGATATACTTGTTTATTATCAGATGATTATATTGTGTACAACATACACATTTTTACTATGACAAAACAATCGCCGTAACAGTCAGTCATCAACCAGACAAGAGTATTGTAGTGCTTGTATATGCATACAACTAAGACATTTTATTGAAAAGAACATTTTTTTTCTTTTATAATATAGTAGGTAAACTTGATCGATTTTTTTATTTCAAGCAAATAGCATAAATATTAATGATTAGTTTTGAAATATCTTATATAGGTTCTTCAGTTACATCTTCAACTTTGAATAGATATGTTTTAGACGTAATTTGGATAAATAGGCATATAAAATTCCATTTAAAAAGTGCATTTGAGGAAAAAAATAGAAATGATCTCCAATCATGCAATGTTGTGCATATAAGTGCATGAAAGCTCCATCTTCGTTGCAATATTGATGGACTTCTTTCAGCCACTGTCCTTTAAGGTGAGAAAACAATAATCCATGCATATAAATTGCCTTAAATCATGCTCATGCATGTGTATGATATAACCTTTGCATTTAGTTTGATTCTTCTTGCACCAAGAGCTTGATTCATCTTGCACTATAAGCATGATCTTCTAGCTCAGCTACAAGGTAGACGCTTAGTCTCCCTGTGAATCTTTGACTTGATTTCCTTCACCTGTGTACTTTCGGCATTAAAAATCCAAACATACACCTTGAAGGAAAGACGGGTTTATGGTAGGTGGGGGTGGAATTAGAGATTGCTTTCTTATCTATTAACTAATTACATGTGTATCTTTTGAATGACAGTGGTATTAAGATTTTTTTCTTAATATCAAGCATAGGTTGAAAAAATTCATATCTAAAAAAATACAAGTGGGAGTTTGTTTGAAGATAATTAACCAAAATAACTTAGGGTAAGCAAATATATACACCAAGGTATTTAAGCCAACTTCAATTGATGAATTTTCAATGTTTTATTTATATAATAGGTAAATATGATTTAAATTTATACGTATGTTTTTTTTTCTCTTAACCTATACATGCATAACTTAGGTTTCTTGAAATGTTTCATGTTTTGAGCTTAATGCACATTCAAAGGATTTTTGTGCTACGAAGGAAGGTCAACAAATTAAAAAAAAACTTTTCATGCGTTGCAGTTCCATGTGTTTCTAATCTCCGATTTCTTTGTCGAGTACTCTTCAGAACTAGTCATGGTGGATTTTGGCCTTGGAATATCCGACTCTTAGAATCCTTTGTCAAGCAATATCAATAACAAACAATGAAATTAATCTTCAGACGAAACCTTCTAACACAAGGTCGGTTGAATGTACTAAACACCAAATATTCCATCTCTTCATTCTATCTCTCTTTCGCTCTCCAACTCCATGTACAGGATAAGATACCTGAAAACATCCAGGACATGCATTTAAAATTCAGCTATCAGAAACTGACGAGATTGAAAGACAAAAGGAAACAACAAGAATGCAATATAACATAGCAACTGTGCAATTAAAGTACAACCGACACAGCCTTGCATATTTCAAAAATATCATGAAGGCATATTAACTCTGATA